CCGAGAGAGCAACCCATGTGAGAGGAACGACGGGTGGATGAGAGTTAGTTGTAAGATAGAGCGTGGAGGAGAAAGTCCTGCCACCGTCTAGGGGGTAAGTCCTCGCACCTTATTAAAGAAATCACGAAGCCGTATTATATTGATAAGAATTAACAGTATGGAACCCAATGTGTTTCTGAAGTGGTGTCAAGTGACTTCAGGAACAGGCGGACGATCATACGGCCTCACCTTGACGTCCGCCGAGTACCATTATCAAATCTTTCGAGCTCTGGAGGCCGTGAGTCTGAATATCCCATTAAAGGGGTGGACTGGTTGGTCATGGGCCCTCGGAGGAATCTCCGAGGGTAGCGGTGTCATCTAGAATGAGTCGCGAACCGGCTCATGATCATGTGTCCTCGTCCTTGATACGACTGCACGTACAGAACACCGTTCCGAAAGTAGCGGCGTGATTTAGATAAGTCGCGAACTGATTTGAATCATGCGACCGCATTTGGAGGATGGTATTACAGAAGTGGTAGAATCAAGTGTTGGAACCAAGCACGGCGTCGTGAATCTATTATAACGCAATTGTCAACAAGAGATCTGCTACGATTTCTGAAAGTGACGTCATCAGGACCCTCGATTCCAAGAATTTTTGCTCGATTCCGGGAATTTTGCGTCACATTCCGGGAATTTTGCGCTCGATTCCGGGAATTGCGCACGATCGAGAACCTTCTAGAACATTCTAGAACCTTCTAGAACATTCTGGAAGCTTCGACGGTTCGTGTCCGTGCTAAGTCGGGAAGGTTCGCTCCCAGAGCCGGCGGTCCTCTCGCTCGACGTTTTGAGACAGCCCCTTGCCCCCCATCCCGGTAAGCCTTCCAGAAGCTTCGACGGACCCGTACACGTGCGTGCAGGTTTCGGACGTCAGCCCTCAGTCCGTTTGACCTCGAACGTTATCTCGCAGAATTGTGCAGCATCGCTGATGCAATCCTCCAGGAATTTTTCCAGAACTTTTGTCCGTAACTTCATAGCGCAGGCTAGTGCGTAGCATCGGTGAATCAGAGAGAGAGAGACGAGCGGCATTCCCTTTGAGCGCAGTGCCGGAAAGCGGTTTCGGCGACTTTTGCGTCGAGGTTGATTCCAGGAAAAACGATACCCTTCCATGCAGGTTTCGGACGGCAGGCGATTCGACCTCGAACGTTATCTCGGAGTGGTCGCGCGTCAGCCTCCTCATCCCACTGAGAATCCCCCATCCCCCGATTCGTCAGTTTCCTCATCCCACTGAGAAGCTTCGCGAATTCCCCATCCCCCAGCCTCGTGCGAGAGCACCGGCGAGTTCAAAGTCATCCATGTATCGGTTGTTCTAATGCGCAATACCGAATGTTATCTCGCAGAGTCGTGCGTCGAGAATGCGGGCCCTCATCGCCCCGAGGTGTCAAATTACTCGTAAGCGCGCGCGCGCGACGCAACTTCGTCGTCGTCGTCGGCGGAGGGCTGAGGAATATTCCGGAAGATGCATGAACCTTGACATCGAATCTCTGTAGGCGATTCGATTCCTAGAAATCTGCGAAACCTCCCATCCCCATTTTTTAACCCTTGATAGTTTCCTATAAAAGGAGGAGCTGAACGTACCTTCGTTAGTTTGCTGCAACAATTTGGCTGATACTGCATAAGAGGAAACAACGTGAGTTCGAGTACAGTTACTGTTAAGGAATATGACAGAAGTCAAACAGTTGATCGAAGCTAGAAGAGGTCGTAAAAATCTCCTAATAAATTTGAAGAAATTCGATATTAATTGACGCAATGGACTTCTCGACAATTAACAAAGTGGCTCGTTTGGACTCATTTCTTCCACGAAAAAGTTGGCGGAATTAGAGATTCAAAAGGAATACAAGATTAGTTGTATTCGGAAAATTGAAACAAAATACGGAACGAGAGTAATCGTCGCCATTGAAAACAGCTTCTCGACATTTCTACCAGCGAGGGTGTCTAAAATCTTGAGAGACGATAACAATTTGTTCCAAAACATGGTGCGTGCTGCCGACGAAGATCGACTCCTCATGCGCTGTCTCGGTGGGCAGTATAATCAGATTGAATTTCAATGTTTGTAATCGTGCTCTTAATACTATGTATACGTGTTAAATAAATATATACAATTTGTTATTATATCTTATGTCTTTATTCACAATCAAAAAATTTATTCCAACAACAACCAATTGCTTAATAATTTAACGTTTTCCATCGAACATTGGAAATGGGAGGCATGATGGTGCGAACAGCGAGTGAGTAAGTTCTTTCGCAGATTTTGCAGCGAAGGGCATTCCAGATCTCCCAGATCCGCGATGTGTTCGGTTTGTCCAATGAAAGCTCCCAACCAAACTTTCTTCTCCAATCTTTTTACATAGATCTTAGA